TCCATTTTATAAAGGCTCCTGACCTTAGGATCTATGCGGGTAACCATTTTCATTTTCAAACTTTAATCTATATAATAGAGATGGTTATAGACTACGTTAGATATATTTATATCATTATAGACTAAATGTCCCAGAATAAAATTTACTTTTGTTTCTTTCTTTCCCATAGCGATATATATATATATCAAATAAATTCAGGAATTTTAGAACAATTTAGAAATATAAATATTCCAATAGCAGATTATAATATACTTAGTGGAATAGCTTATCATTATGTATTATATCATTTAAGTTTTATTTTATTTTCTATTTATAATCTATTGTTAAATTGTAAAATCAATAATATATTTATCATGTTTTTTAAAGTGGGAAAAGATAGTCCAGGTGACGGTAATACAATTAATAATGGAATATTAAACGTAATGTTTGAATTTTATATTACAATATTAACTGTGGATCATCATTATGTAATTAGTATCTGCAATCTTTAATTCTTTGTTTTTCATTTAATTTTGTTATAACCCATTCTTATACCTTGTTACTCCTTCCATTCCCTCAAAACTTTTTTAAAACCTCTCAGGCTAACCCACTGTCTTATCAAAAAGATGTTCGATCTCTTTGTTTATTTCCTTGACATTATTTCAGTTTTCATTTGTTTATATTTTCATCTACATGTCCATTCATCCCTCTATACATTTTTAGTACACTTTTTCTTTGTATCAGTACATTGTATTTGTGTGGTACTATAGTGATGATGATGGAAATCAACCATCCCTATACATTGTTATTAATTGTATAAGAGAAAATTGGTTGGTGTGTCCAGTCAAAAAAATGTTAAAATAAATAAATCATATTTATTTTTACTTTTACTTACCTATATATGAAATATATAGTAAAGGAAAGTATTGTGATTGTGAAAATTTTTAAATCTCAGTTTTCAACGGAAATACATGTTCTGAGGTTCCCTGAGTTGAAATAACCAAGTTCCTCAAAATGGTCTGTGTGTGTGTGTGTGTTAACAGACTACCTCAAAAACGAAAAGTGAAATTGCATATTTAAGGTTTTTATATGCTAGGGATGTTATAGCAACTTTTTTGTCAAAATCGGCTAACCGGAAGTGGCACTTTATATCATGGGCTAAACACATTTTTATGATTTCCTCGAAAACGGCTTTAACAATTTTGACTAAATTCATTATATCAGTATAAAATTAAGCTGTTTTAAATAAAGTGTAGTTTTTATTCTGATTGATGTTCTCTAATAGGTCTTAAATGGCTAATTTTCAATATTAGCTTCCTCTTAAGTATCTTTAATTTTTTTTATTTGAAACAATTGATCATTTCACATTAATCTATAATATAAAAGATAGTTAAATATAAAATATGAAAGAATTTAATAATTAACTGAAGGAGAAATAAGATATCGGAACAGAGAATAGTTGTAATTGAGGAATCAAAGAAATACGAGCACATCTGAGCTTGCCCGAAAGATTAGAGCACGCTTCTATACGTAACATGAGCTTAATATAATACGGACTCCGACAATATTATGTAAATATACATATGCGGTTTCCATAAATGTTATTGTTGGTATTATTTAATATTTAATTGTATAGATTGCAGCGATATAAATATTAAAATTTGTATATATAAGAGTACTATACAAATAAAAGTACCTACAATTAAATATAAATAAATATAGCATCTATAATTTTTACTTTCACTTCCCTTTTGTCTGAAAATACTTACTTCTGCTAAGAAGAAGGTGGTGTGAAAGTTGTGTGATGTAGTATTATATTATGTAGTAAAATTTTTGAGATATAATTTTACCTTTTTCACAGTTGATATTTCAAAGGTTTTTTTTCAACAGTTTCTATAATTTCAATTTATTTATTATGTAACAAATTTCAAGATTCGGAAAATTTGACAAATGTGATTTTATGAATGTCAAATCGATATTATTGATGCCGGATTCATGGTAGTCTATGATTCACTTCAAAGCCGGAAGGGATACTGAAAGACTAAAGAAAGAGTGAGAATTGAAGTCTAAACAATGAAGGCAGTTGTTATTATTATGTACGTACATATATATATATATATATATATATATATATATATATATATATATATATATATATATATATATATATATATATATATATATATATATATACAGTTTTCATAAATGGCATCGTTAGTATTATTTATTATTTATAGATTAGAGCGGTATAAAGATCAAAATTTGTATTTATAGGGGTACTTAAACAAATAAAAATACCCACAGTGAAATATAAATAAATATTGCATCTATAATTTATACTTTCATTTCTCCTTTGTCTGAAAATACTTATTTCCGCTAAGAAGAGGGTGGTAAGTGAAAGTTGTGTGATGTGCACACTGCACCAAATTTTTATTTTTGCCTACGTTGTGGCCCAAAGTTCAGGCCGTCACCAGTGCTAAGAAAACACCAGATAAAAATGATAAACTCTGTTACTGTTATTATTTTGTTCATAAGTTCCTAAATTTGTTACCGTTTTGCTACATATCCTATCTTTGCTTCCGCTACTTTCTATCCCTAACTTTGTTATCGTTATTTTATCACGAATAATTCCTTTAAGTTTATTCTACCTACTTTCTTTAGACTATATCTTTCATCTAGATATTATTATTTTTCTTTTTAATGTTAATAGTTTCTCACACCTGTTATCTTTTTTTTCTTAGCCTGCCTGAATGAAGGCCTGAACTTTTGGAAAAAATAAAAATAAATATAATTTATTTTGTTTATATATTTTTTTACGGTACCAATCTTCTCTTCAATTATTCACTATAGTCAACCATCCACATTTATTAATTTTAATTTACTACTAGTTGGCCCGTGTGAAAAATTTGCATTTAGTATATTGGTCAGTGGTCAAATGACAAATTAATAATAAAATAAAATAATTCAACATTTAATATGAAGAAATCAATTCTTATTTTCACAGTAATTATAATTGACAAGGGAAAATTAAGTTGAAACTTGATTAATGTTTAGAACCAACATGTTTACAAATTTCAATAAGCTGTATCTTTGCTAATAATTGTCCGATTTTGTCATGAAATCAATACGAGATTCGTATTTGAGGCTTTTTAGAGATACTAAGTACTAATCTCAACTCTGTTTTCCATTAAAGAAATACTTGAACCCACTTTTCTTTCTTCAGCCTGTACAAATTATTTCAACATTTTACTCATACTATTGCTTTGTGCCATATATATAGTTATTTTCAAATGAAATGGGATATAATTGAGCTCTTCTAAAGAATATATACTGACAATAACAGCAAAAAGAATAATAATAATAATTAACTGAAAAAAGTAATTAGGAAAATTCTAATTGATTTCAATTTTTTTTTTTGTAGGAAATTTAGTAATTTTTTAAATAATCATGAGTGTAATCAACAAAATAGTATATATATCTTTTGGTCTGGTGTGGTGGTCATAAATAGACTAAATAGTGGCAAACCTATTTTATTATAAGCCAACGTTTCGACCCGACTTTGCAGATCTTCTTCAGGAAGGTGTGTTCAGCAAGGAGTTTCACTTAGAACTAACTCAGATCTAAAGGAGGAGGAAATCTTTAAAATAATGGCTGAATCTTGAGATATGATGAAGTATTAACGAAGATATGACTTACCAATAAAAAAACATCTTTGATAAATAACATAAACTCTTCTCTCGATCATAGGGACCTCAAGTCGACGACATGAAACATCTATCCCATGGCAGCACTAAAATTAATGTGAAGTTGTGTGGCTCCAAACTGTTTGCATTGCATTATCTCGACAATGGTACATTTTTGGGCTTGAAAATGCAGTGCCCAGTAGTTCTGAAGGAACCAAACAGGTTCTCATGTCTGCATCAAAATCTTCAAATCCAAATTTGTTCTGTATCAATCCACCGACACCAATGTTCCAGTATTCATGGTATTTGAGCATGACTAGAGCTTTTACTTGGTACAAAACCTATTTTGAGCCTTACTTTAATAATATATGTGGAGATAACTATTTATTTTGTTTTATAATTCAATATTCTTTATTTAATAGTTTTTTAATGTTGTGAAGAGGAAGGTCCCCCAAAGACTTCCAAAAGACTAAGTATATGGCACTAGGAGATGAGGAAGATGATCTAAGCATAGGTGATCAGGTATGCAGAAGAGTAAAGGCTTTTAAATATCTTGGGTCTTATCTGGACGATATGGGGCCGTCTGAAGTGGATGTCCGAAACAAGGTAGAGATGGCAAGGAAAGCAACTAGAATGCTGCACCCTGTTCTCTAGAACAACAAAATTTCAACAAGTGGCGTATTTTCCCAACTATTGTCAAATCCATATTAACCTGTGGATGTGAGGCATGGTCAATGAATGCTAGCTTCTATGCCAAATTCGGACTGTATTTATCGGAAAAGGATTTTTAAAGAAAGTGTCTTCTGTTAACGAAGTTGGACAGAGTCCGAAATGAAGCGGTGAGAATAGGTGTATAGAAGACTCACTGAGAGAATCGGGAGATGGTTGTATGGGCAATGCAGGAGAATGCCGGAATTGCATTAGCCAAACAGACTCCTGGACTGGCAGCCACCCAGAAGGTGTAGGCGAGAATGACCCAGAACCACATGGATGGAAGGAGTCCGAGAAGAGATAGCCAGGCGAAGTCTACAGGAGAGTGGCTGGGAAGATAGAGATGTGTGGAGCTCACGTCTGACCTGAAAGTGTGATGTTGGAACACCCGAAATAAGTATATAATGTCATTCATTAATATTATCATATAACTCTTATATTATTCTGCAATTTTGTACTTAGTTCTTTTTTACTTTCTGATGAATACATTAGGTGGGCTAAAACATAGGCGTAATAAATAGTTTCCACTATTTGAATTTAATTAATGACTGTTTCTCTGGTCCAACCTTTCCCTCATTATACAAATGGTCGACCATCAAATATTCATTTTTTTTTTTTTTACTTTTCAGTTATGGATAATTGTGGCATTTCTATTAAAGAAGAAATAGATGAAGAAACTGAATCTACTAGTAAGTTATTCTTTTATTATTTGTGAATGTCATTCTTATCTGATTCTAACAAGTTTAAAATTAAATTGAGCACCATATCACAAGTGTCACAACATGATATGATGGATGGTTGTGAGGTCACATGATTACACTTTAGAATCTGAAAATGACCCGGTATTGACTATCACGTTAAAGGGCCACAGTCAGTATCGAGTTTCATCAAGATATTAACCGTGTAAGGCCGTGTTTACATCGTATGACACGATGGAAAAGGAGTTCTCTCTCAACTCTGCATGGTCCGTTCGAAAAACATACACTTACCATGGTATTGTCACGTCTCGAATTTCTAATTCATTCATCATTTCATGTTTAACATTGTCCAATATATGTACTAAATAATAGTTTAATTTTATTGTTATGAAAAATTGTTTTTTATGTTTTCCGATTAATAAATATTACTTTCAATATTACATACTCGATAGATAATGTAAAATCAATTCAAATTCAGTATAAAAATTACAGTATAATAAAAATAAATTTCATTAATGAAAATGAAAATATGTAACGACTTTTAATAGAATAAATAGTAACTAAATAGAATTGAACATTAAAAATATTATACTTTTTTTTAAATTTCATCATTTTTTTTAATATTTCAAAGACAAAATAAAACTTATATTTTAAATATTATTAGGATTATGCTTGTTACTACAATTTTAATATATCATCTAAAATTAAAGGCCTTATATATCTGGCAATGCTAATTAAAATCACTTTCTAGTTCTATTATTGGCTGCACTATATAATATTGCTTATTATCAAAATCTGGCTTATGGTTGTTTCTAAAACTACTTCTAAGGGCTGTGTATAATTTTAGCATTACTTATAAGTTCTTTCAGTCTATTTATTTAATTCTGTTCTATTCTTCGATATTTAATATTTTTACAAGCAATGGATACATTATACTTTAAATATGAAATCTTTTATAATTTTTTTCCTTATGTATTGTATTATTATAATTTTTTTAAATTAATATATATATATATATATATATATATATATATATATATATATGTATTCTTTTTACATGTTTTCAGTTAAATTAAATTGGGTATATATTTTAATTCATGATATTTCATCAGAATTTCATGTAGTTTTACTGTATTATCATTGTCCTTTATATCTGTTTTCATTATTATTTTAAGCTGATCTGTAATTAGGTTTTTTAAAATTATTATCTTTATCTCTTCTGGTTTTATCGAGTTTTATTGAATACTCAATGGTCAACCATAGTACAATATATATAAATAGTGAAAAACTATTTTATTTTAGCCAACGTTTCAACCCAACTATGTTTTTCATTAAGGCTAGAATGAACAAGATACAAAAAGATATAGAAAATTGTGGGCGTTAACTTATATTTAGATAAAAATTATAAATAGTGTAAATAGAAAGAATATAAAAGTATTAACAACATACAATATTTAAATGAAGCATTAAGAGCATTTAAGTTACTAAATAGTATTTAAATTACTACTTAATAACCACAAACTAAAATAAAGCAGATAAAATTTGTAACTATTATTGTTAATAAGCAAAATTTAATGTGATAAAGAGAAGGATAATAAACATAATCAAGAATATACTCTGATAAATATTAAGGAAAGATTAAAAGGAAAAAGTGTTAATTAAAAGGTATGAATTAACAAAAGGATGGAAGGAACTGCTGTTATGAGACTACTTGTAATTTTAGTATTTTTTGGTGTTATTAGTTTCATGGGAAATTTACAATTTTTTATTTTGTAAGAAAAACCTAGCATATGAAGAAATATATATGAGCACATTTAATTTTATTCCATTATACATGGGTCATTTATTTCCAAAGTGACCGGGGGTGGGTGCAGTTAATATATAATATTATATCATATAATAAATAGTATATTTATTGTATTGACCAAGGTTTCGACTTATGTTGTAAGTCTTCCTAAGGGCGTTTCATCTGACACTGAAAGAAGCATTTGGGAAAGCATTTAGTCAGAAGTATGGTAGGGTAAAGGGACTAAGTGTAGAAACGACACACTTATTTAAATATTTATGTATCTATCGTCCGTTTATTCCGAAAAATCATCATGTAACCTTTTAAAAAATTAAATTAGTGAATAGTTGGATGAAATTTCCTTTAGTGATATTCCAACATTACCCACTTACAATTAGTGTGACAACTTTTGACCTGTCTATGACAAACAATTCAAATCTCTTAATTCTGTTTTAGTAAACTTTGCTATGGAAAATAACAGTTTAATAACCAATAGTCTTACAATCCAAACATCCTGCAAAAAGCACAAAACCATTATTTCTCAGCCGACATAGTAAGAGCTCTAAACTCAACTAACTACCCATTATACAAGATACTATGCAGTTACAAGGCTCCCGATCCCGAAACGTACCTTACATTCAAAGTCTATATAAAGAAATTGAGATGTATCCGTCAATTAAGAGTTGCGAACCCAGAACATATCAGAATCTATGCAAAAAACAGAACTTTTTCGATTGAGTCTCAAGAAACTTGCATATCATGCAGTCAATTTATCTACAATAGTCAACATCAAATTGTCCTTCACTGCCCAGCATACAATGACTATAGACACAAATTCCTTCAAAACTTCATCTTAGAATCTTGTGATGACCACAACATCGAAACCATATTGAGTACCGATTGTATAGATAAGTTAAATAAAGTTTACTATTATATGATGGGAGTACACAAAACTGTTTATCATAGCCCATGTTCTATTAAGTTTGTTTTTAGTTTATCTTAAAAGTAATATTTTGTTTATATTTATAAATATTATTATTTTTTATTGTTTCTACTATAGTAACAGGTCCATATAACTATTATTATGCAGTAATCGTTTTTTGTTTTTAATTTCTATTGTTATTCATGTTTTGTAAAACCCATTCTACACGTAAAATATTGTAAATTTTATTTATTTTTTAAATTTAACTTGATATGAATATAACTTGTAAAAGCATATTATTCTAATATAGCCAAGCTAGGCTCTATTTGTATGGGGACCCCCCCCAAAACAAATAAATATCTATCTAGTCTTACAATCCATAATCAACGGATCGTACAATCCATCTTCAACCAGTGATATAATAAATAGGGCTTTTGTTATTTTAATGGTATTTATGATTTGTTATCTGTAATTTTTAGCTTTAGCTTGTTAAAAAATGCAATTCAAAAATTTTATAATAGCCCAACATGGCTAGAAAATAATTTCTATTAAAAAGTTGTGTGTCGCGGGCACTAGATTTTTTTTCTTTTCGACCTATAGTATAGGTCGAAATTTTAGCAAATACAATAAAACTACTATTATCTGATATAGAATTATATATTAACCGCACTCCCGACCAAGTTCTTCTTCTCTTCAATATATCTATGATAGTCAATTACTTATCCACTATAAGAAAAATGTGATTGTGATTTGGAGAGCAAAAACGGTGTATGAAATGAGGGAAAAAGTTATAACAAATTAACTTTTTGTTTACAATAATGGTACAATAAAATAAGTTTATTTTAATAAAACGGTTAATAAAGCTTTTGAAGGATTATTTTTTTTCAGAATATTGTAACATACCTCTTATATTTTACAAATAATAGAGAGAATCACTTTATTATCATAAAAGGGTGCTGCCCAATTACATTGGGTTGCTTTAAACACAGCATACTTATTAATCGCTACTGACAATTTTCCAAAACTAATATGCAATTATATAGTATTAACAATATGTATGAGCATAGTATACAATTTACTTTCTTTATTATTTTTTTTATCTGTATATATTTTTTTATTATAATTTTTTTCCTATATATTTATTTTTTTTAATTATTTTTTTTTACTATTTCTTTCATTCATTTATTAGCATTATACATCCCTTTCTGTCCCTTCTCTCCCCTTATACATTTTTCTCATTCCCTAGATTTTCTCCTCTCTTTTCCTAACCTAATTCATAACATGCATACAAATACATAAAGTGCAGTGGACGTGGTCAATAAATAATGGAAAAATGCTTTAAAACACACATGCCTCCCCCCCATGAACAAACTCTCTCTCTATCCATGCACATGGTGATGAATAATTCCCAGGGAGTCGAGGATTATATTCTCCACCAACCTTCCACACCCTTTATGTCGACACCAAGGCCCTCCATGAAGCTCCTTGTTGAGTTTAGTATTGTTCAGCGAGCTCCGAACCAAAGGCCTCTCACGTGGAACTCTCTCGGCTTGAAACTCTTGCGGAACTTTTCACTAAGGAAAGGAATGCATTTCTCATAGGTCTTTTTTTTCTCTCTTTGCCTGCTTGATCGAGGTCATTAGTCTCATACCTCACGGTAGAATCCAAAATCATCACCGACTTTCCCGTCTTAGGGAATGCTACAATGTCGGCATATCGGGTGAATCCATATAACCTCGGAAGCTCATTTCTTACCATTGGGATACTTCCTAAATAAATAAGAGGTTGTTTAATAATAAACAAAATTATAAGAGAATTAATATATTTATTTATCTCAGGTGTGGATTACTGACAATCAGACAAACTATAATTAACTATACTAAACACTGTTTGATTTTAAAATAAAGTCAAATATGGATTGGCAAGCTAACCTTTTTTTCTATATACACTGTTTTTTCCTTTGTTGCACTGAATTCATTTGTTTTCAAACACTTTCCAAAGTTCTGCCAAACAACAACTTCCAAAATGGTGACACTATCTTCTACTCAACTCAAGCTCCCTGGCAGATACTCTCTCTTGTAATTCCAAACAACTAGTCTCTCTGCCAAACAACAACTTCCAAGATGGTAATACTATTACTGGGTTTTATCCACTGGAGCCAGGATCACTTCTCCTATCCTCTCTTCACTACAGCCACACAACTACTGCTTGCCAAAACAAAAATCTTTGTCCCTCTCCTCTTTGAGATTTTCCTTCTTGGGAAACTACAGAGCAGCCATTTTCTTTTCCCTGCACTAGTAGAACTAGATTACCTTTCCTTTTAATTGTTCAATATTAATTTATTAAACTCTTTTTACTCACTTCCAATAAAGGGGTACATTACAAGATGTATTTAAGAAATGCAAGTTTTATTACATTTCTGGAAAAAATAAATAAATAAAATAAAAGCTGTTTTGGAACTTTAAAGAAAATAATTGGTCCATTGGATTCATCTGTTGATAAATGGATGAATTTATTTTTTCTTTATCTGCTAGTTATTTTTCTCTCTTTTCCATAGATACAATTTTATAATAATATATAATTTTAATTCCTCTAATTCAGTTCATCTCTGATTATTTCTCTATGTCATACTCTCAATGTTACTGAGGCATTTATTCTATTTTTTTTCCAGTTTCCACCATTGGAGTTGATGAAGAGGAAAGTTCACAGATTTATTATTCTGGTGAGAAAAATTTTCTATTAATATATTGTTATCAAATTTAGTTTTGATAAAGCTCTTGGAGTTTTATGAAATGTGCTATTGAGAGCAGAGTTTTAATAGCTAGAACTATAAGAATATTCAAGGCATCAAGAGCAATACGTTGTTATATCTGGAAATAATTATACCTAGTCCTGTCATAAATATTGTTACTAGGAAATATATACAGATTTCAATAAAAAAATTAATTTTTTCAAAAACTTTATTAGCAAATAAAATGTATATCTATAGAGAGTAAAACAAAAAAGAAATTACTTAAAATGTCCCCCTTTTGCATCGACAGAGGCATTTAATCTCCGTGGCCAGTCATCATAGCAGCACGCAGGTCTTCTTGAGGAAAGTGCTCAACTGCTCGGACCAGAGATTAATTGAGGCTTTCCAAGTTAGGGTGTGCTCTGTGGCATGCCACCCTCTCCAATTCGGACCAAAGTCAATAATATAGTGGGTTGAGATCAGGTCTTCCTGAGGGCCAATCCGAGACAGAGATGAACTCTGGAATGTTCTTTTGCAGCCACTGCTGAGTTCAACTGGCCTTGTGAGCTGGAGCGGAATCCTGCTGCAAAACCACAATGACTTCAAGCAAACCAAGTATCATTTAGAGGCTTGACAACAAGTTTCAAAATATCGTCCTGTTAGTTTTTAGCGGCTGTTTTAACTAATTTTTCAGAAAAATGGAGCTTTGTGTTGCCATCAAAGAAAACTCCCCTCAAAACCATCAATGAGGAAGGATGATGGCCTCTTTCCAGTCTTCCTGTGCTTCTTTAGAGCTGTGTGCGTACACACTATTATTTTGGTGATTAAATTTTTCTTCAATTGTAAAAATTTTCTCATTGCTAAACAAAATCTTTCGATGAAGTCCATTGGTGTAACGACCAAGGAGCCACTTTGCATCTATCCACTCTCTGATCCATATGATAGGACAGGCATTAGTTTTATATAAGAGGTACTTAGTGCGACAGAATAGGTAAGAACTTCTGAGATGCTTTCTGAGACCAAAATAACACCTGTTGGGTTTGATGAATCACTGAGTGGTTTCTATGGAGATCCTGTTTCCACAACTCACCACTTCTGCGAAGGTACACAAACTGGTCGATGTTATGGAACATAAATATGATTCGGGTATACAGACCTCTTACACCATTTTCAACAGGCTCGTTCAGGTACTCAGCTTCGCCTATGACTTGGATATTGTCGCAAGATCTTTTGGGTCCTTAAGAGAAGCTTTTCTGAAGTTGGCAAAGGCTGCGGAGGAAATGAGGATGGGGATGTGTGTAAGCCATTAGAAAATATGTGAGAGCCTGGGCCAGGGACGGAGACAACGGACTGACAGCTCATGGTGATGAGCCAAAAAAAAGTGCAATTAAATGCAACAAAAATCAAAATCGTGCAATTTAAACCAAAAATGGCAAAACGTACAATATAAAATTTAAATGTTATTCTGCAGATCTTGAAACGGATAGATATTCGGGTCAGAGGTTTTTACATGCAAGCGAATAAAATTTGCAATAACTTGGAAATCTGGTCTCTAACGATAACAGTAGACGTTCTGGACAGTGGCTCGACAAAGGAAAAGCAGCAGAACATTTTCCAAAGCCCCCAACTCTTCAAAACAAGATAATGGTTACTCTTTGGTGGGCTTAATTTAGTTTGATACATTACAGCTTCTTAAATGTTGGGGAAAACAACAATGCCGAATTGTATGGTAATCAAATGCATCAAATCAAAGTGCAATGCATCAGAAATTGGCAATCGGAAGGGGCCCATTTTGTTGCATGACAATGCCCGGCCATATGTCTCACGTGTGACGTCACTAAATCTGTTGGAGCTCTGCCACATCAGTCCTACTCTCCAGACCTCTTGCCTGTGAATTATCATTTTGTTAGACACCTGGACCATTACTCGCACGACAAAATATTTATTGGACAAAGGGAATTAGAAAATATGTTTTTGGAGTTTATCGATTCTAAAGATGGGAAATTCTATTCCGAGAGAATGGAAAAGTTGCCAACACGTTGGCAGAAGTGTATTGATTGTAGTGGAGACTATTTTGATTAAATAAAACTGTTGTAAATCTTTCTTTTTAAACCAAAATCCTGCATTATTTTCTGGACAACATAATAAATGATTAAGGGGAGAATCCTGAGGGTTGAGTGTGATCTCGGCCCAATCACCTCTCTTGGCCTTGTAACAGTTGTTCCTCACATAGTACTGAACCCAACAACCTTCATGACTTGTTAGTGGTTCAAGTTTTTTTTTTTTATTTACCTTTTTATTTACATGTTGTCAGGTGGCCTTACTCATTTGAAGCAAGAAGATGAGGTCCTTATCCCAGATGAAGGTGAGAAACATTTATCTTATTTATAGTAATAATAAAAGGCTTAGCGAACCTGAATACAATATTCGCTATAATTTGCTAAGATCCACTGTCAGAACTAAAGCAGTGGTTTACATTAGTGTTGAAATTTTCTCTTATAATAATAATAATAGGGCCAGTATAGCAGAGTGGTTAGCGCGCTATACTAGTAAAGCAAAGATCATAGGATCGAATCCCGGCCCTACTTCCCAATATGGCTGGTCCCCGCGGGAAGTTAGACCATTACCCTCTTAATTGGGGAGGCCTACAGGTGTAATACTTGTAAAAACAGGCTATACAAAAAAAAAAAAAAAATAATAATATGTGGAGAAGATGTAAGTGACCGGTGTCGCTTATGTACAAATGCAATAGAGTCAATCCAACATATTTCATCAGGATGTCAAGCAGTGAAGAATATCTGATGAGACACAATAACCAGGCTAAAATTGTTCACCAAGCACGGGCCTTATTAAATAACATGACAACAGACGAGGTTCCTTATTATCGATATGAGCCCAAACAGATGTTTTCAAAAGAAAATAGAGTAATAAATTGGGATCGATCTATAATTACAGACCACAGGGTAGTAAATAAATAAATAAATAATAATACAATAAACGGACATTGTATTAATTGATCAGAACACACAAAATGGGTATGTTATTGATATAGCGGTATCAACCAATGATAATATCAGAAAGACTATTTCTGAAAAGATTAGGAAATATCAAGATTTGTGCCAAGAGCTCCAGCAACTTTACAAACTGATTCAAGTAGAGATATATCCAATTGTAATTTCCAGCAATGGCCTCATCCCAGATGATATCATTCGCTTGGTCAAAAATTTGAAACTGCCATAGGACATGTTGGAAGAAGGGAAAAACAGTTCTCCTAGGCACAGTGAATATCGTCAGGAATTTCTTAAACGTAGTTTTTACTTTTGAGCCTAATCCTTGACCTTGGTCTGGGTAGGTGTATATTTCTGGCAAAAGCCAAAAAAGTGTGAAATTCGAAAATAATAATAATAATGCTTTATTTATTCTGGGACAAGTTCCTGTAGAATAATGTACAAAGATGGAAATGTGGGCTTTGGAGCCTCAGAGAATAATCACAAAATAAATTTTATTGCCTCTCCAGAATTTCTATCCACTATTTAAATTTATTATAAATTTATTTATAATCTATAAATTATTTATTTATAATTTATTTATTATAAATTTATTTTATATTAAACTATTTTATTGCCTCTTTCTATCAACTTTCGTTTAATTATCCATAATATTTATGAATATATCTCTCGTCCTTATTTACGCTTCCGGTACTTTAGTTCAAACTTCGTCAGATAACCGTTGGAGATGACGCCACTATACATCCCTTCTCTTCAACCCCACTTTGACTAACACCCTCATTGCTTAGATTTACATCTCCATAATCAGGTCGCTCTTCTCTTTATTTTTATTTTTTTTCTTATTCTCTTTCTTATTTCAGCCTTCTCAGTTTCCTTCCTCCTTCCTTTCATCCCTCTGCTCTGTTTTAACTCTGTATTATATTATACCTTGTCTATACATCTTGATAGACTTTACAACATCTCAATTTTCTATCTAACTATTCTATTCACAATATCTTAATTTTACTGTTTATTTCCATTTCTTATATAACTTCATATTTTTCTGTTTTTACATTTTATTCTAAGATTCCCATTTTAATACTTATGTCACCTTTTTTTTTCATTATGTTTACTTCATCATTCCACACTTTGTACCGCTTATTATCATTTATCTCTTTGTTCTTACTATTGTCATTATTCTAACAACTGAATTTTACTTTAATTTTTTTTACCTACACTACTTATGTTTCTCATACCTTGTTATCTGGTTCTTTTCTTAGCCCTGATGATGGCCTGAACTTCAGGTCAAAACGTCGGCTAATGTCAAAATAAATAGTATCATTTATTTTTGCCTTCTTATTTGACTGATCACCCCAACTATTCTTCTCTCCACAAAATAAATAGATTTATATAATGAATAAATAAAAGGAAAGAATATTATTCATCTTCAAATTTCAATTAAGAGAAAAAATATTAAATAAAAGTATTTAAAACAAACTAATTATTTATATACATATTTACTACATCTATTTACAATTTTATGAGAACTGAACGGTGTATCTTATAGTATCTATTTATATTTATTTATCTATTTAGGTATATTTATCTTATGGTAAGAAGTGTATGCTTAATAAAAATGAGACTGACATAGATGTTTCTTGTGGTAATCGCAAGAACAGCCTATTATAATACCAGGTTACAAAAACTGTTCTATTTTTTTATGTAACTGGCTATTTGTAAGAAAATTTTCACACAGTCCTCTTAATTTGATTAGGAAGATATTATATTTTTTATAGGAAAAAGACCTATGGCTCTTATTGTAGCCATATCCTCTATTAATAAATTATTAAAAGCAATAATTTATTGTTATTTATCAAAATTGCCTAAAAAACATTAAATATATTTTCATTCTATCATAAATGACATATTTATCGTAGAGTTGTTTACTTTTTAGTTGTGACATGCTGCGATGTATCCATGAAAGAAGAAACGGAAGAAAAAACTCAGTCAGCTAGTAAGTTATAATTTATTTACCATTCTCCAGTTTTGACCTTTTTTTCGTAAATTATCTTCTCACTATTTTTTGACCTATAGGTAAATTTAATAAAATAATCACACTTAGTTTGATTATTATTTATTAATGTACATTTTGGGTGATCTCTCTCATCAGCATATAAAAGTTGATGGATTCTTTTGATGGATGATTCTTTTGTTCTCTTCCTGCATTTTAGCTACTCAAAGCAGGGTGGTTGTTTTGTTTTTACTTTCACTTACCTGTTTATGAAATGTATAGTATTGCGATTGTGAAAATTTTCGAATCTCAGTTTTCAACGGAAATACATGTTTTGAGGTCTTCGGAGTCCAAATAACCAAGTCCCACAAAATGTCTGTGTCCGTGTGCATGTGAACAGTCTAGCTCAAAATCGGAAAGCCGTTTGAAAGTGAAATTGCATATTTAAGGTTTTTATATACCTCAGATGTCACAGTAACTTTTTCCTTAAAATCAGCTAACTGGAACTACCATTTTATATCAACTGCGAAACACATTTTTACAATTTTCTAAAAAACGGCTCTAACGTTTTGATTAAACATGGTGTATCATTGTATAATTTAATATCATTTAGTTGTTATCTCCATTGATGTCACTTTACAGGGCTTAAATGCCCAATGTTCAAATATGTTTTTTCTAAGTTTGAAAGAAAAATATTTAAAATCCACTGAATCAAGCCAATGCTATTGTTTAAAATACTATTTCATTGTAAATGTGTGAAATATAAAAATATTTTATGGATATATTTATAACCTTAAATACATTTACTGTAGTTTAATAACTTTAGATATGATATTAAATTTAAATAATTAAGTATATATATCAGTCCTTTATTACAAAAAATCATCATTTAACCTTTTAGAAAATTAAATTAATTAATAATTTGATGAACTTTTCCTTTGTGAAATCCAAACATTATCTACTTACAATTAGTGTGACAACTTTTGACCTATCCATGGCAGGCTATAAAAATCTCGTAATTTCATTTTAGTAAACTTTACAATGGAAAATAACAGTGTAACAAATAATAGTCCTATAATCCTTAATCATTTATAGGTTAAATATTGAGATATACTTTCAAATCTCTTGGCATATATGAGCCTTTCGGTTGAAAGAATGACTAACTCCAATTCAAACATTATTTATTAGTAATTCTAGTGATGTTTCTGATGGCAAAATTGATAACTTTATTGACAGTTCGATATTTCATCGCTGCAATCACCTCCTCTGAGATCAACTTGCTCAGTGTCTGTATAGATATAACTTTTCCTACTAAAATATCACTAAAATGACATTATTCAAAAATGTTGAAATTGGTGTTTGTCATTCTGTCAACTGAAAGGCTCAGAGACTGAAGTTGTGTGATTTGTAAAAGCGGATGTAGATTAAAACTAGATTAGTATTGCCTACCGTCGATATAATAAATAGACTTTTTGTAATTTCAATGGTCTTAATAATTTGCTATCTGTAAGCTTTAAGCTATGGCTTCATTAAAAGTGTACTTCAACAATTTTATAATAGCCTAACGTTGCCAGAAAATAATTTCTATTCAAAGTAGAGCAGTAAGTGAAAGTTGTACGCACCAGATTTTTTACACATCTTGAGGAGATGTTCTAAAGTTTTTCCTTGATAAACCTCAACTTAATTAATATGGACTTATAACCTATTAAACAATAAAGTTTTTTTAAAAATGGGAAGGTTGATAAAAACAAATCTTGAATAATTCATGATATTTTAAAAACCGAACTTATCTTAGTTTATCCAATGAAAATGGTTTTAACAATGACAAAATCTACTATCATTTGAAGTAAATTTTGTCTAGCTTACTGTAAAAAAATTTTTAGTTATTTAAATTAAATATTTTTTATGAGAAGGAGTCGATCTGGGGGTACGGTCAAGTAAATACTAAATTATAGAAATAGTATTATTTAATTATTATGCCGATGTTTCAACCCACCTTGCAGGTCTTCATCAGGGCTACAAAAGATACAAAATATAAAAGGTACATGGTGAAAATAAAATTTTCATCTATATATAGTACAACTTGTTTTCATCATCATGACCTTGTTTACATTTATACTTACATTCTAAGTTTCTCTTCTTAAATTTTTTTTTTCTTATAGAGTTATATATATTTAATAAATCTCTCCTAATGATATTAAAACTAATGTTATCCTATTGATTTTTCAATTTCTTTATTTGCTAACCTTTAGTTCCGCTATCTGCTTACCTATATTTATCAAATGTAACCTCCACTAGCTTGTTATCCACTGATATCTTATTAATATGTTATCTTATTCTTATTTTAGCTTTACTATATCAATACTTATTCAATTTTCAATCTCTTTATTCGTTAACATTCATTTTCTTTATCTGTTAACCTACAGTAGTTATCAAATGTAATCTTTATTAGTTTGTTATACACTCATTTCTTATCTTTTATCGCAATCTGTTTACTTTTAACTTAGATGCTATATTCTCCTTTGTTTTCTATTTTTGTTTGTATCTTCTATGTATATGATACTTGATATTTTAACTACATTGTCACCCACTAATATCTCTGTTATCATCTTATTATTTCTTTATCAGACAACTTTTTCTTATTTTATATCTACTTATAATTCATTTATTTTATTTTCACCATGTACCTTTTATATTTTGTATCTTTTGTAGCCCTGATGAAGACCGGCAAGGTGGGTCGAAACGTTGACATAATAATTAAATAATACTGTTTCTATAATTTAGTACTTATTGTTTATTTACTTTTTATTTAATTATAACATGATTCCATGTATTGCTCCCTTATACTTATTCAGTCACATTTCTTTTAGTTAATAAACTTCGCTATACTAGTGTTCGCCTAGTGGTCGAAATTCAACCATAGCTATTAAAAATTTGAGGAAAACATATAATTAAATAAAAAATAAATTAAATAAATAAAGAGTAAATCATGATTCAAAATCCTCATTTATTAATATAAACAAAATTTCATTTTCAATTAAAAATCGAGCTTAAACTACTTAAAATTATTTATAAGTAATACAAAATAGACTCATTCAAAAATATTTAATTTCCATTTTAATTTGTGTGTTGTTATTATCACAATAAATTAATGTTATGATTAAGCAAGTAAAAAATAAATTTAAATTAGCAATTTCGATTCACTTTAAATCGATTTTTTTTCAGAACTTCTCTATAAACAATGTTCCTTTTGAATGTTCTGTTATTGTTTAGTGCATAGCCTTGCCCAATGCCATTGAAAATATAAATTTCAATATTATAAATGAACACATATACTTCTACTTGCTGACACATATAATTGTCCATGCGAAATTACTGTACGTCGCAGTAATACACACATTTTTCCAAATGGTGATGATCGTAGCATAGTAGCAATCATTTCAAATGATTATGGTCATAGAAAATGGAGCTATTAATAGAAACGTTGTTCTTTGAAAGTCGAATAGAAGTATTGTGTCAGAAAATATTAAATTAATTCTTGAAACTAAAATTCTTTAATTTAAAGTAGCCCCCGTTAGTACTTCACTCTCATTCGTATTTCATTAACTAATGCTTGTGGAGTATTTAAGTTAAGAATGAGCACAACTATATAATTTTCTTAGAACATTCCAATAACATTCAATGATATCATATCTTCAAATAATAGTCCAGATTACTTCATTAAATGTAAAATTTTTGGTTTATTAAAAAATAAAATAATGGAAATCGACTTTGTAAAATAAAACGTACTAAATGTTTAAAATGATATATCTCTGCAACAAATAGTCCGATTTCGATAATGTTTTTTTTATTTTGTAGGAAATCAAGAAAGCTTTCAAATAAATACCGGTATTATCCATTAAAAAGTGTGTACTTTTTGAGTTATTCGCAAATAAAATACTGAATTCATCACAAAAATTTATGCAGCTTGTTTTCGGGAAAGTATGTTATATACATAAATTATAAAGGGGAAGACTTTAGCCAAGTTTCATTGAAATCGTTGAAGCCGTATTGGCGCTACAGTCTAAAGCGAATCACGTTTTTCGGCCACCATTTCGAAAGGAAAGGCCTGATGATAATGAAACGTACACAAAAAAAACTTCTAAATATTATTGCGACGTTGTGTCAAAATTAAAAAAAAAATCGGTGAAGAACTTTCGGAGATAAGCCGTTTTGAACAAACTACCATTTATATTTTTATTTACATACTATTTAATATTTTTATTTATGGATAACACTAAAGCTCGTCAATATCTATTAAACAAAAAAAAGAAGGAATAAAATCGGTTGAATAATAGAGGAGTAAAATGGGCTGAACCGTTTTGTGTTTGCCTATTTATATAATGATAATGTTGCACTATGTTTTTGCATTGTGTTTTTATAATTCATCTTATTCATTTTTAGTCCAAGTTGTTTTCTGCATGCTTCATATTTATTTATTTTTTTATTAGTACTACTTATTTTTTATTAGGTTGTAATTAAAAAAATCAAATGAAAAAAAAAAAAACCACTCGGCTTTGTGTCGCTAAAATGCGGAAAAAGAACAAAAGAATCTATTAACTTTTGGCTAATTCAGACATCACCAGGAGAGAAAAATAAGAACCTAGATTTCATCACGTTATAAATGAGATTCTTACGCATACTGAAAGAAAGGGCAAGTAAAACAGCTGAGAGAAGTTATAATAAAACAGCTGATCAGCAAAAAAGGAACTGATGAAAAACCGTGTGATCTCCAACCAAATTACAAACAATAATATGAAAAGCAATAATAATAAATACAAAAGAAAAAAAATAAAAGAAAAAAAAACAACTAAGGAAGGTTATCACCAAAACAGATGATCATACAAACTTAAAAAAGTGAATTAGCTAGATTTATTAGACGTGAGATGTTCAACGTTTCAGAATTAAAATTCCTGTTTTAATTCTTTGAAGTGCTGAGCTAATGCAGTGTTAGGCTCATTTCTGTTAATATTTCTACAATACATTCTTTTTTGCTTTGTTTGGGAAGCTTAAATTTTTCCTAATAATTTCCAAGTATTCGCTCTAAAAAAAGAGAGTCCTGAAACATTGTATAGCCGAGGGTTCAAAGGACTAAATTCCTAGAAGGAAAGATCTAAATACACCACTGATAACATGAAATCTATTTGCATCGCTTTTAGTGATGTGATGGAAATAGAATTTTGAAGATGCGTCACAAGAATGGCAAAGATTGCTCGGGATCGCTTTGATTATGAAGACCCTTACACGTTCAATCATTACTGATCATTACTTATCGTTGCTGACACCAATTTAGATCAGTTGTAAACAAAGAAACAGCATAGATAAGCTTATTTGGACATTGTCTTTATAATATTGGACATCAAGAGAAAAATGGAGATATAATAATTACTTCCTAGTGCCTGAAAATTGTTCTGACCAAAGTTAGAAAAATATAAGTCAACTATATACAAAAATCTAGGAAAATTATTGCAAAACTAATCAATTTGTTAAGAAAGATGTAAAAATTAATGACAAATAAACACAACAGTTAAAGATTTTTTATCTATACGTAAATTTTGCAGTTTCCACTTTTTTTTTTTTTCAATTTATTACCTACTTGACTATTTAAAGAAAAAATAGTTGAAAATGGTTAATAAAAATACAAACTAGGGATGTAAACAACTATTTACTTTTATGAAATTATTTACTTAAAAATGAGGCCTAGGTTAACTAACCTATCTAGTAGTAAGGTTATTCTCATAGAAAATCGTTTTGACATAAGTTAGTAACATATAAGTCTACTACTTACAAAAATGAAGGAAAGGTATTGCAAAATAATAAATTTGTTGAGGAAAATGGGAAAAGAACTGACAAATATACACAACAGTTAAAGATTATTTTTTTTCGTTAAGTAAATTGTGAAGTTCCACTTTTTTTTTAATTTGTTGCCCACTTGACTATTTAAAAGAAATAGTTGAAGATGGTTCATAAAATATAAACAAGGGATATGAAAAATTATTTAACTATTTACTTTTAATTTATTTACATGAAAATCAGAAATTTATAATGGTTGTGAGGCCTAGGTAACCTAACCTATCCAGTAGTATGGTTAGTCTCCCCACTACTTTTACCTCAGTCCCCCCTCCACTTCTCGTGAATGAACCTTTGATTTCTGGATGTTCGGAAATCCGCAACACACCACCATCAGTACTTCATTCACTACCTTACACGATAATTCGGAACGTCATTAGTGCCTCGGAATGCAATTCTGAATGACCCTCTAGGGTCCCCTTTATGATTAAACCATATCTTGTAGAAAAAACAAAACTAGAGCTCTGAAACTCTGAATATACCTTCTTGTAAAAATAATCATGTGAAGGAAATATAATTGCTAATGGCAAGACACTCATAGTAGCAATAGATATAACTGAAGAACATTATTACAACTGAAGATGTATATATGTAAAAATTGTAAATGTAAATCAGATTATCCTCAATTTAACAGAAACATCTTGCAGTTCAATTTGTTTTATAAGGCAATGATATCCTTAGTTATAGATATTGTTAAAAAACTCAATGGCTGAACTTTTTACATGCAGCTTGATGTACTGTGTTCTCATTGCATTGTAGAATCCTACTGTTATCATTTGCCTTCCATAAATGGCTGAAAGATCATAAGGCGCACTGGGTGCATTGGTATTTTGGTTTTAGTCATAAAACTTCATATAGAAATTTAATAATTAAATAATTTTTACTGTTAAATAAAACTTCATATTGTTTAATTATTACATTAAGTTATTAGCTATAAAATACTTATTTAGAATATTGTGGATTTCATTCTGTAAAAATAAATTTAAATTAAAACTTTTTATTGTTTAAAGGAGCTGAGAATTCCTTCAATAAGACAGATGAGATCACTTGGTTAAAACCCGATAATACAATGAATTTAAAGAAGTCTGAAATGTCTCTTACCGGTGAGAACTCTCATCAATATCTTCATTGTGATTATAAAGAAGCAAGATCAAATACATTAAAAATGTATGAAATGTCACATCATATCAATATGAAGATTCAACAAATTCCTCATGATTATAAAATAACAGAAGCAGAGAATTTAAAAACATATGTTATGACTCATCATATAAAGAGAAAACCTCATGAATGTTCTGATTGTGATTTTAAAACAGCACGACTAAATGATTTAAACAGACATATAGTAGTAAATCATATGAGAGAAAAGCCACATCAATGTCTTCAGTGTGACTTTAAAACAATATATTCAAGTGATTTAAAAAAACATATAATGGCTCGTCATACAAGTGAAAGGCCTCATCAATGTCCTCAGTGCGATTTCAAAACATTATATTCAAGTGATTTAAAAAAACATATAATGGCTCGTCATACTAGTGAAAGGCCGCATCAGTGTCCTCAGTGTGACTTTAAAACAGTATATTCAAATGATTTAAAAAGACATCTAATGGCCCTCCATACAGGTGCAAGGCCTCATCAATGTCCTTATTGTGACTATGAAACAGCAGTAAGAGGCAATTTAAAAAAACATGTAAAGGCACAACATACAACTGAGAAGCCTTATCAATGTACACTGTGTGACTTTAACACAGTATATTCAAATCTGTTAAAAAGACATATAATGGCCCGTCATACAGGTGAAAAGCCTCATCAATGTCCTGAATGCGACTTCAAAACAGTAGAAACAAGTAATTTAAAAAGACATATAAAGGCTCAACATACAAGTGAGAAACCTCATAAATGCCCTGATTGTGATTATAGAACAGTTCATGCACAAGATTTAAAAAAACATATAATGGCCCGTCACACAGGTGAAAAGCCTGATAAATGTCCGTTTTGTGACTATAAAACGGTCCATGCACAAGATTTGAAACAACATATAATGGCCCGTCATACAGGTGAAAAGCCTGATCAATGTCCTCAGTGTAATTATAGAACAGCAGGAATGAGGAATTTAAAAAGACATATAATGTCTCATCATACTAATGAAAAGCCTCATCAATGTCCTCAGTGTGACTATAAAACCGTATATGTTGATGTTTTAAAAAAGCATCTGAAAGCATCTCACACAGGTGAGAAGCCTTATCAGTGTCTTCATTGTGACTATAAAACAGCTGTAGCGAGTAATTTAAGAAGACATATAAAGGGTCAACATACAAGCGATAAGCCTCATTAATGTCCTCATTGCAACTTTGAAGCAAAAGAAGAAGATAATTTAAAATCACATATTACAGCTTGTCATACAACTGAAAAAATTAAATAAACAAAAAGAAAACTGCATTATAAATTAAGAAGTTATTGTTTAACACATTGACTCCTGTGGTATCTTTCAAGATCTCGATCTAAAAAGTCAATTTAATTTAATTATATTATATTATTAAAACACTAAAACTCCAGGAGCTCCTATGAAATTCTGTCTAACATCTTCTTCATGAGATTACTTTCTTTTGCAGAGCAATAGCTAGGTTTGTACCAAAGTGGAATTTGGAAAGGGAAGTCAACAATTGACCAAATTTACACATTACAGCTAAACAGAAAGAGAGTAGAAGCTGCAGACCTATCACTTGCATTTTGATTTTAAAAATGCATATGAAGAGTTTGAAACCATGTATATGAAACCAACATGCGAAGCCTAGGAGTAATCGTGAATGAAGGAAAAACCATCTTAATTCCTAGCTGGAGTCTGGAGTGCAGTGGAGCGAATGGAGTCTGGGGGAAGAATGAGGTTCGTCATGTTCTCACATATATGAGAGCATAGGTGAACAACGATATTACTGCCGAAGTAAATACAAATCACCACCGCTAACAGATGTTTTTTTGGTCTAATATCTCAGCTGAGAAACAGTCTCAACACTAGAGCCACAAAGTTATCCTCTACAAAGTATTAATACACCTTGTGCGTACATATGGTTCTGAAGCTCTGACTATATGATGTTATTTGCATCCTACACCGCATCTATGGAACAATCCAACGGAATGAATGATTGGTAAAGGCGTAGAAATCAGGAATTGTACATCATGATGAGTGAGCTAAATGTTAGTCATCAGACTTGGAAGGCTGCGGTGGTACGGCCAAGACTAAGGCGGCAGAACAATGTGGACCATGAAACAAAATCCCTTCTTGGAATTCAGAACTGTAAAGAGGCTCCATAAGACGTGGTACATGGCGGAAGGTGATCCAGTAGGTCATGAATTGCTAGCAACTTGTACTTCTAAAGAATGAATGAATATGAGGTTGTAGTGCCAAAAAATGAATGAATGAATGTGTGGTTGTAGTGCCAAAGGATGAATGAACGAATGAGAGGTTAACATTTGATAATGAATGAATGAATGTGAGGTTAACGTTTGATGAAGAATAAAGGAAATCTGATCTTAACATCTATTATTGCAATAATTTGTTATGGATATAAAAGTTATTTTGTTAATTTTTTTTTAAAGAAATATATTTTTCTCCATCTTATCTTTGTTTTGTTCACATTCCGTTTCCAATCCTCCCTGTTCTCAATATTTCCATTGGCTTCTTTTATTGATTGTAACATCTTGATTCTTCAGAATATTATCATAAAATAAAAATACACAATACTTATGATAAGAAGTGTATGCTTAATAAAAATGAGACTGACATGTATGTATGTTGTTTTTTGCGACAATAGCAAGAAGGGCCTATTATACAAGGTTACAAAAACTGTTCTTTTTTTTATGTAGTTGGCAAATAACTGTCACACAATCCTTTAGAATTTAAAGGAGAAGATTAAATTTTTTACAGAAAAATGGCCCAAGGTATTATGAGCACTGTCTTTCATTTCCTCCATTAATAAATAGTTAAAAACAATAATTTATTGTTATTTATCAAAATCGCCTGAAAAACATTAAATATATTTGAATTTTATTATAAATGACATATTTATCATGAGGTTGTTTACTTTTTAATTATGTTGTCTCTATAAAGAAAGAAGTGTAAGAAGAAACTGAGGCAACTAGTAAGTTATAATTTTATACATTTTTTAAATAATAATAATTTTTACTTTCACTTACGTATATATGTAATATATAGTAAGTGTAAGTATTGCGATCGAGAAAATTTTTGAATCTGAGTTTTCGACGGATTTATACGTTTTGAGGTACCCTGAGTCGAAATGACCAAGTCCCGACAAATGGTCTCGTGTGTGTTTGTAAGTCTAGCTCAAAAACGAAAAGTCCTATGAAACTGATATCACGTATTTAAGATAGGTATATGCCTTAGTTGTGACGGCAACTTTTTCCTTAAAATCGGCTAACCGGAAGTGCCACTTTGTATCAACGCTGAAACACATTTTCACAGTTTTCTCAAAAACGGCTCTAACGATTTCGATTAAACTCGGTGTATCATTGTATAATTAAGTGGTCTTTAATATAAATTAGGTCTTATCCCCATTGATGTCACTTTACAGGGCTTAAATGCCCAATGTTCATATACGTCTTCCTCTAAAGTACCTTTAATATGGTTTATTTTAAAAAGATAATTATTTCGCATTATTCAGAGTTACGAAAAAATGCCAAATATAACTTTTGAAAGAATTTGATAAGTTAATAAAGGAGAAAAAAAAAATATAAAAATGCAGAAAAACGTAGCTATAGACTGTAGCGCCTAAACGAATGTACCGATTTCATTGAAACTTCGCTAAAGTCATTTTCTCGAAACTCTTCAAATTTATTTGTATAATTTTAATTTATTACTATTTTCACCTAGATATGGGGCTCATCATCAGGTCTAAAAATAAAACGTTTCCTCAGAAATAAAGTATAGACAAAAGTATATAAATAAGATTCATAGTACTCCTAAATTAAGTAAATATATAGAAAACATTTAAATAAATAAGATGTACGCATAAAATAATGCAGGCTAAGAATAAATGAGGTGAAATTTTGAATTATAAAATTGGAATATAATGAGCCAACATTATTAGTCCGTATTAAAATTATAGTATACAATTAATATATAGTAAAAATTTAAATAAATAAGAAGTACGCATAAAACAATTAAGGCTAAGAATAAATGAGGTGAAATTTTGAATTATAAAATTGGAATATTGGAATAAGCCAACATTATTAGTCCGTATTAAAATTATAGTATACAATTAATGTATAGTAAAAATTTAAATAAATAAGAAGTACGCATAAAACAATTAAGGCTGAGAATAAATGAGGTGAAATTTTGAATTATAAAATTGGAATATTGGAATAAGCCAACATTATTAATTAATACGTGGTACAGACCTCTTTTTATCAAATTATTAACATCCACCTGAAACTTCTTAAATAGTTTCTTCTGGTCGTAACCTACAAATATTTTATTTGCTAAAATTCTCACAATTGGAGCGTTTTCTATTTGGAGGTCGGCAAACTTTGGTTATTTAGGTACTAAAAACTCGTAAATACCAATTTGCTTTCAGCTTGGTTCGTAAGATAATTTGATCATAAAATCGATGAAAAAAGTGACCTACAAAAATATTAGTCCGTTTGGCAAATATAACCTCGTTATTTTGGCAATTGGAGGTTAAGTCACACCAAACGGCTCAATATTTCTCGACTTTGTGCTCAAGTTATCTTACGATTCAATGGGCAAAAGCAAATGGGTTTACTAGTTTTTAGTACCTAATTAAGTAGATAAAGTTTGCCGACCTCCAAATTGAAAACGTCCCAAGTAATTTAAGTAAATAAAATATTTGTAGGTTGTGATGGGATGGATGTTAATAATTCGATAACTAGCATTTTATAAAATGTTTTAACATGGAAGTTTAGAGCGTTTGTCTAGTAAGTGTTGGAGTAAGTGGAAACGTCGAGCAGTTTCTTGTCGTTTCAGTCTTGTATGAGGATTCCAAGTGAGACGCTTGTCCAGGTGGAGTCCAAGATATCGTATTTATTCAATAGGGATAACTGGGGTGTTATTAAAGGATACTGTAGGACAGGAAGTCTTAGGTTTACGACGATTATAAAATGTTTTTTATTTATTTATATGATATTTACAACTGTATACAAAAAATACATCTGGTACACATGGATATAATGACATGGAACACATGTTGAGAAACTACCCATTGGCAGCACTCTAATAATATGTCTATATTAGAAGATCACGTGGCCATCATCTTTTCAGACGCCTCGGAGGGTTATCAGGAATCGAATAGGAAGCAAGGTTAGAGACAAGAGGGTTGGAATGGTTATGAAGTTTATTATGGAAGGACAGATATCTGGATTGGGCCAAATCTGATACATAAGGAACATTAAGGTCATTATGGATAATTTTATTTGTAACAAAGTAAGGAGCATTGAGGATTTTGGATTGTAAGTATTGCATGCGAGAGGAATTTGAAGGTTTGGTGGAGCCCCATAGCTCAACTCCGTAAGTCCAAATAGGCCTTATTATAGTCATGTAAATGAGTCTTTTATAATTGATTGGAAGGTTAGAGCGTTTGCCTAGTAAGTGGTGGAGTAGTCGAAAACGTCGAGCTGTTTCTTGTCGTTTCAGTCTGGTATGAGGATTCCAAGTTAGACGTTTGTCCAGATGGAGTCCGGAGGTAACGGATTTGTTCAACAGAAATAAGTGAGGTGTTGTTAAAGGATACTATTATAAAATGTAAAATTAAAAAAAAAAAACACATTTTCTTAACACATAGCATAGTTAATAGTTAAATAATAACACGGATTTGTATGACATTAATTTGAGATTTTTGTTTATAAAATTGACCAAAATTTTCCATAAACCTAATAGAGAGGCTGAAATAGACAACAGGGAACACTGTTGGACCAACGGATTCCAATTTTGTGTTATACTGCCCCGGCCGTAATAAGTGCACTACATCAGATCCTCACAAAATAGTCTGAAACTATTTTTTTCTCAAATTCGTGAAAAGTTTCCAAAATGTAATCAGATTTTTTCAATTTATTTACCTACTGCAATAAAACTATTCCAACCGAAATAGGTAGCAGAGAAAACTCTTGGAACAACGGATTATAATTTTTTGTCATTTCGCCCCGCACGTGATAAGTGCTACAATCACGAAAAGTTTCTAAATATTGGTCAGATTTTATTATATCTGCTTCATGAATTCGAGAAAAATTTCAAAAATGTAGATTTTATCAAATTAGTTACCTACTAAGTGGAATAAAACTATTCCAACTGTTCTTTGCCTGCTGTTGATTGCATAAGTTTGGGTACATTATTCAAATTTGCATTGCATAATCGTGAAAAGCTTCCAAAAAAAAATATTCAAATTTTATAAAATAACTCAACCGACGATACGGTCAGCTATACAGACTATTAAACAGAAAATCTAAACTTTCTATTGAAAACAAATTACTTATCTACAAGACAATCCTGAAACCTATACGGATTTGAACTGTGGGGGAAAGCAACATTTTCTAACATCAAACGTATTCAATTCCTTTCAATCTAAAGTCCTTCGAACAATAGTCGATGCTCCATTCTATGTAACTAACAAAACCCTACACCATTACCTTAATATCCCATTTGTCCTAGACCTTATCCCAGAAAAATTCTCCAAATTTCACCAGAACCTTACCTATCATCCAAATCCCCTTGCACAATCTCTATCCAGTACCCCCCGTCCTTACAATCCTCCTCGAAGGTTGAAGCGGCAGTGGCCCAGAGACCTTCTGTGAATAAGCATATATTGGAGTTTTGGCAATGGCCAGATCCCTCCACTCAAGCCAAGTATGTGTGATTATAGCGCCACTCCTCAGCCTCTACTGGTTCTTAATACCAGTAATGCGGCTCAGTGCGAGGCGCTGGGATCTCCTAGAGTCCTGCCTTTCCTTCCACGAGTGTGGTGAAAGGCTTGGCTGGGAGTTCTTCTGAGTGAATGGATTCTGTAAATATTGTATAGTGTGCATGTGTTTTAGTTGTTTATTTTGATTAGGTTAGTTCTTTTGTTTATATACGTTTATTTTTATTATTATTAGTTTCTGAATTATTTATTGTAAATAGAGTGTGAGTTTGCTCTCTGAACACTATTATAAATGTTCTTGATTGTGACAGAATGTAAAATTTCTAAATAAACAAATAAAAAAAAAATAACTATAATAAAATTACCATGCTTTAAAAGTATTCTAACTGATTTTTGCCTGCTGCTGACCACGTAATTTCTGGTTCTTTTTAGATTTTTAAAGCTGTCAGATTACTATAAAGCTTCAACAACTTTGTTTGACTTTATTAAATCTGTGATCTACTGAGTTGCCTGGAAATATTGCAGTAGGTTTTTTTTCCTGCTGCTGATCACGTAATTTTTGGCAGTTTTTGCGATTTTTGAAATTCTACCACAGCCAAACGCTTTCCGTTAGCCTTCTGACTATCGGGGTTTTAGCATTATGGTTGTCATCTCTACTATTTTCTGGTTAAATCTTCGGTAGATCCTGGACTTTTATTCCCTTTAGCTAACTCAGTGCGGTCGTTCCCGATTCTGACCATTTGGAAGCTATCAGATGCAGATTTGTTCTGAACCCAAGTATGTCCTTTCTCAACTATTTGTGTCATATCTATGATCTTATTTGGGCACTTCTTCACTAGTAGGCCGGGACTGACTGCTATCTGCCAATGTTTATAACCTGAACACTGATAATTCCAATAAGGCAGTGATAAGCCTTCTCGTAATTCCTATCTTCGCATTATTGTATTATATTCGAATGTAATAACAAAAGAAAATACTTTTATTTTACGACACATATATTAATGAAATAATAAAAAAAAACACTTAAAGAAAATATGTACATCTAAAAGATCAAAATTAAATAATAAAAGAAACACTTAAAAAAAATATGTACATATAAAAGATGAAAATGAAATAATAAAAAAAACACTTAAAGATATATGTAAATATAAAAGAAAAAATACCAACACTATAAACGACATATGTACAATTTATTTTCACTTCGTCTTATTTATTTTGGTACGCAAAGTAGTTTTATGCTATTTCAAATAGCGAGGAACGGGTCCTCTTCTTTCTGAACCCGCCGTTTTTCACACAATTTGATGTCTGTATCCGAACATTTTGAAAATATTCAATAGCCTATTCTTCTGAAGACGGTAAATCCCAGAATGTAACAATATTCATAATTTGACGAAAATAAACTTAAAAAAAAAAATGAAAAATTAACACAAACGGGCCAATAATAAAGAATTTAATAAGTAAACGTAATAAGGGAATAACTTAAAAATAAACGATGTAATAACCGAAAGGTTTGGCGAGATAAAAAGAGGGAGGTTATGTGAGGTGACGTTAGATAACATAGATAAGAAGTGAGGTTTGGACCCGGCCTGTTAGTGAAGTAGTACCCTTATTTGTATTCTATTTAAATGTGTTATACATCAAATAAATGTTAATAATAAGTTAATTTTATAATTTTTTCTTCTTTTGCTTTTAATTTATGTTTTGACTGAATGCTGTTTCCTACATTATATATATATATATATATATATATATATATATATATATATATATATATATATATATATATATATATATAACTTAAGATATGAATTATAGTCAGATACTAGGTCATGATATACACTTAGATGACTTAAAACAACTTCTGTTTATTCCATTCATTTAAAAACGTTTCCATACCTGTTTTTTAACATAAATAATGGGATCCTCTTCAGTTTTTTTTACTCTTGATGTAGCTTGATGCCCTTGTGACGGTACTGTTGGATTGTCAGCGTGCTGCCCGGCTTGGAGTATCGATCCTCAATTAAAAAACTGAAGAGGATCCCATTATTTATGTTAAAAAACCAGGGATCGAAACTTTTTTTTAAAAAAAAATGAATAAACAGGAGTTGTTTTAAGTCATCTAAGTGTATTTCATGACTTATTATCCGATTATAATTCATATATTAAGTTGTAATATATAAAAGTCGAATTATAAAAAAACATTGTAATACTATATATATATATGTGTGTATTTATACATATATATATATATATATATATATATATATATATTATAATGTATTTACATATAGCTCATAACTTAAATACTTATTATCAAATTCGACTTTCTTTTTTTTCAACAGAAACACTGAGTTTACTGCTGAGAAGAACGTAATGTCTTTTTTCTAAAAGTTTATATTCATATTTTACCATTGTACATAATTTTAAGTGTCTTGGCAAGGTTTCAAGAGTTTTTTATATAGATTTTTTATATAGTATGTATAACTAATATTTTCTTTATTTATTTATTTTTATCTTTACTTTTTATGTTTGTTTTTATTTGGCAAGATATAACATTTTAATTTTGTACTTTTTTTTTATTCTAAAGCAACTTCGTCCCAGAGTAACATTATTTTCTATTCTATGTGTAAATACACATATATGAAAAAATATAATGTAATAGTAAAAATTAATAAATTTAAAATTAAAATGATACTGTTGTACAGATTTAAAACGTTTTATCATTTTTCCAACACCTAAAAACAATATATATATTTCATATAATCTAAAAATGTTTGAAACTCAAAATAAGTGGAAGTGCAATAATAAAATTTATAACTGCACTATTCTCAATATGGAACTTTTTTAGGTAGGAAAACAAATTGTAAATACAAAGAAATATATATTAATCTATATAGCCTTTTTTTAGAAATAATATAATTTAATTTTTATGATCACTCACAGTTATTTTTATGATAATTTTTCGTTATTTTGCTTTTCAGAAATAAGCAAATACGCAAGAAAGCGAAGTGTTGCAGGATCGCCGAGAAGGCATATATCCCGGTTTTTAAAAGTTCAATAAAAACGTTAAAATGCATTTTTGAAAGCTAAGATTTTGCAGGGTGACTCTAAATAGCATTTTAAACAAATTTATGCAAACAAAAAATGTCTGTGGATTTTAGGATGTAACGTATGGTAGTAACCGGGAATGAGTTCCCGCATTCCGCAGTCAAAAAATTAAATAACTGACTTTTCCATAAAGAAAAGTGTCACCTTTTGTTGAAATTTTAGTCCGAAATTCTCATTTTATATTCCTTTTGCATTTACATGGAGAAAATATTTTGAAGTATACAAAAAATAAATAAAAAAACTGAAGATTAATATTTTCAATATAAGTGATTCTGAAATATGCCAATAAATAACAAAAAAAAAATCCGAAAAAATTGAAAGGATAAAGGTATAGAACGATGTCAGGTGTAGTTATCTATAATAAAAAAAAATTAGAATTTTTTTTAAAAACAACAAATATTAATTTAAAAAATGTATTACATTTACTACCTAATTTACTAGACATCAAGCCACATAATATCAGTTGTAAATAATGGCAGGTTAAAATCATTTAAAATTTCAATATTACATAAATATTCATAATATATACATAATTATAAATACATACTTTAAAAACAGCTTGAAACAGACAACAAATTTATTTTAAAAAGTACTAATACATTGACTATTTACAATTTATTACTTGCAACATTTTAAAATCGTACCTTAAAGTATTAAAAATTATTGTAAACATATATCTGCAGTAATAATCATTAAATTCAAAATGTGGGTAATAGACTAACATTTTATTTTCCCATAACACTCCTATATTATTTAAAAACATTAAAACATTACGATATAATTTTCAAACAGATATATTATTATATGTATATATTTATTAATATTTTGTAAGTAATATTAGAAAAATAGAGAAAAGAAACATTTTGATTCCAACTACCATTCAATACCTGAACTTACAGTAGGGTTGCAACTATATAAATGTTTTATGTCTTATAATAATTAAATAATGATAACTATATACTGATCTGTTTCAATTTAATTTATTCAGAATCATATATATTCATATTAGAACAAAGATACGTAAGGATATTTTCTGTAAAATAAATTAAGTGGACACAAACTTAAAACATTGTGGAAGATTTACATAACAATCATCGTAAGTAAAAGTTTACCAAGAATAATTATATATGGTGAAGTATCCATAAAAAAGTTCACATTAAAAATAACAAAATCAATTTAAAAAGTATCCTAAATTTATTACCTAAAAATTAGCAAGTCAAACAATAATAGTTGTAAATAATGGTATGTTAAAATTATTAAAAAATGTAACATAACATAAATATTTGAAATAAATAAGTAGTTATAAGTACCCACTTTAACAAATAATAACTATTTGAAACACACGCAAAAAACAATATAACAATAGAAATATCGAATTCATTGACTATTCATAATATATTCTTTGTAATATCACCTATAATAAAAAATAGAAGAAAAAATAATAAATAAGAAGTAAGCATAAAATAATTAAGGCTAAGAATAAATGAGGTGTAATTTTGAATTATAAAATTGAAATATAATAAGCCAACATTATTAGTCCGTGTTACAAATTCCTTTTTAGCAAATTTTTAACATCCACCTGAAACTTCGTAAGTAGATTGATCTCATCGTACCCTACAAATATTTTATTTACAAAAAATCTTGGAAGTGAGCCGTTTTCAACCTGGAGGGAGGGGAAGCAAACTTTGTCTATTTAATTATTTATTAAAAACTCGTAAATAAACATTTGCTTTCAACTTTGATCGTAAGATAATTTAATCACGAAATCGAGAAAAAAGGCGTCCTTCGAAAATATTGAGCCGTTCGGCGTGAGCTACACTCCCAAATAACGATGTTATATAAAACAAACCGTCCATTTTGTAAGCCACCTTTTTTCATCGATTTTGTGATCAAATTATCTTATGAACGAAATAGAAAGCAAATATGCATTTACGAGTTTTTAGTACGTAATGAAACAGATAAAGTTTGCCCTCCTCTAGTTCGAAAACGCTCCAATTCCAAAAGTTTTCGTTAATAAAATAGTTATAGGTTATGATGAGATGAACCTATTTACGAAGTTTCAGGCGGATTGTACGAAGGGGTCTCTACCACGGACTAAAATATTTTAAATAATTCCATAAAAATTTATTTTAATTTTTTAAATATTATTTTTTATATATTATGTTTAAATATTTAAAAAAATTAAACAATTAGTTGCATCATTGACTACCAATAAAATTATTTTCGAAAATTGTACCTTAATAATTAAAATTATTAATACCATAAATAAGTAGTTCTAATCATAAAAATATGTCTAAATTAAATCATTTTTTGAGTTAAGATTATCAGCTTGAGCCTCATCGATGAATGTGTAGATGTAGCTACTAACTTGTTCTTTGCCGAAATACAAGGCAGTTTGTTGAGGAGTCAAGTTGAGCTTCGACCTGATGCTGACCTTCGCACCCCTCGACAATAACAGCTGTGCCGTTCTTAGGTCTCCGGAAGCCGCAGCCCAGTGCAGCGCCGTCCATCCCAGGTAGTTGTCCTGGTGGTTGCAACTGGCTCCATTGTCCAGCAGCAGGGTCACGATGTCCTCGTGCTCTCTCCTCCTGTCATCAGGCATACATGTTGTCCTATGAACAATGTCGAGTCTGAGCATGTTATTAACCAGGTGTTCTAAAAACGAAAGGTCATTGCCTGCCTCTGCAAGACATAACGGAGTGAAACCGGATTTAGTTTCCGCTTCAACTTCCGCCCCTCCATCCAGAAGCAGTTGTATCATCTCTAAGCAGACGTTTCGTGAGAGAAGGCACGCGATGTGCAGCGGAGACCAGCCATACATGTCCTGGGCATTGACTTTGGCGCCCCTCCTCATCAAGATGTGTGCCAAGTCGATGCTGCCCTCCGCAGCGGCTGTATGCAGAGCGGAAGTTTCCATCAAGTCCACTCCATTCACGTCAACACCGCCCTCTAGCAGCAACTCGACGATCCTCCGTCGCCCCATCACTATCGGGTGCGTCAAATTGTTCCAGATGCCGCTGTTAGCATTGACTTCAGCGCCCATATTCACCAAGTAGCGGAGGATATCTTCCTCATTCGCAAATACAGCTGCATCTACGGGCGTGACGTAATAGTGCATCCTTGGGCAAGTCATCGGTACCGGAGAAAATACACTCAAAAACGGATAATAAGATCCCAATTCATCGAGAGTGAGCGGAACAGCCGGGGCATAGTTCACGTGAGACCCTTTTTCGATCAATAATTTAACTACGGGAAAATTTCCCGCATGGATGGCAATGGTCAAAGCTGTGAATCCAGCACTGTTCGTTACGTTGACATCAACCGGATGAATATCGAAGAGATCCCGGATCGCCTGAGCGGGTATGTCGTGCAGCGAGCACAACAAGTGCAGCGGATGGGATCCTTCCAGGTTCTTGGAGGAGTCCCAGAAGCGCACCGCGGCCGGTTCGATCATGAGGTTCAACTTTATGTCGGTCCCTGGGATGAAGATCATCTTGAACGATCCCTTGGCAAAAGGGTTCTTCTCGGCGGTACTTTCGCTGGAGATGGACAAGAGTCCGCTATAGACCAGCTGTTCTATGTTGTCTAATTTGTATTTTATCAAGTTTCGCAAGGCCTTCCTCTCCTTGTTGTCGAGGCCCGGCATGAGCTGCTCTTCCTCCCCGAACTCCAATAGATACTTCGTAGCCTTAATGAAGTACATCTGGGCGGCAGTGGGCAAAGCTCCCATCCCCAGTGCGCTTTCTTCAACTTGGGCATCTTCTCTATTGTATTGCCAGTATCTATCATCTGAAGTCTAATGACAGATATATATATATATATATATATTTACTAATAACATTTTATTGAGAAAAAAAAAAACACATTTTGTCTCAATTAAGGGCATTGAGTATTTAGGATGAATGAAACATAAACGTACCATATATACAATAAAATAAAATAAAAGAAAACTTGGAATAACAGAATAAATCAAATATGATACAACATTAAATAAATAAAAAAAACATATTTTGTAGTAGACATCCCCCTGTATTTACACCATTAGTTGACATTGTGTGAGGGAATGAGAAGCTATATATAATATATAGGAATGTGAGGTAGCACTGTGAATTGTACTCAATTGTGCAGTGGACAAATTGCTCATTGGAAAATCTGACATCGATAAAGAATCGAAAAGAAGAAAAGGTCCGATCAGGTAGCTGGCAACAGATGGCGAGGACGACGCCAAACACTTGAGGCCTGGACACCAACACAAGAAGACGTCATCGGGGAAGAGAGGCTTACTACATTGAAGACCAAGATTATCAAGCCGACCGTTCACTTATATATATTCATTTATGATCAATTGTCAAAATAAATTGTTTTATTATACCGGAGTGAATAGTCCTTTTATTTAGTTGTCCTATAGGCCTCACGATTGAAGAATAAACCAGGTGAGTCAATTCAAAGTGTTTACTAAGTCCCACATTTCATATATGTATTCTTATTGTTTCTTCTCACACAGTGTCATAAAAGGTAATAGATCCCCGAATTCCCAATCACAGTTAAACACCCTCAAAAAGTCGATATCCAATGTCGGGGTTTTGTTTTAATAATTCACGAGTGTAAATAACCCTAAAGCCCGATATAAAAGCGGAAGGCTATGCGCCTATTCCCGCCAAACCTAATCATTTAAAATTAACTTCCCGTAGGTTATTTACAATTTACAATATTTACAGTCAGCCGAGGGAGCTCATAATCTGGCCCTTTCCCCCACGTGTGAAGGTTTAAGCAAGACTCCAAGAGATCCCAGCGCTTCTCTCTCAGCCGCATCACTAGGATGGGAATCCTTGACTTGAGTGGAGAAGGTGGCCAGGACTCCAATGACGTCTTTACAAATGATCTCGAAGCCACTGCCGCTTCAACCTTCGATGAGGATTGTAGGGATGACTGGAACTGGATAAGGATTAAGCTAAGGGTTTAGGATGACGGATTAGGTTCTGATAAAAATTTGAAAATCGGGATGGAATAACGTCAAGGACATAAGGGATGTTAAGGTCATGATGTAAGGTTTTGTTCGTAACATAATAAGGAGCATTGACTATTGTACGAAGACAGGAAGGTTTGATGTTCGAAAATTTAGTTGTCCCCCACAATTTCAAGTCCGTAGGTCCAGATGGGTTTCAGTATGGTCTTGTATATTAATAGTTTGTTTTCAATTGAGAGGTTAGATTTTCTGTTAAGTAGTCAATGACAGATATATTAGTCTACTGTAATAATGATAAAATATGCATTTGTCGTACTAAAGTTTTCTTAATATATACCATAGGTGGAGATCCTGCGGTCTTGAGGCCGCATGTGGCATCCGTGACATGACTGCTGTCTCCAAACATTTTTACGCGATATTTATTATTCTAGCACTAGAACTAATTAATATTTACGAAATTTTGAAAATTAATAGAATTAAGTTGAATTTGGATGCGTGTTAATTAGTAATAAATAAAAATAACAATAGCAAAATATAAAGCATTGTTGCAGCCTCCATTATTGTTTGCGGCTTAATCTAATCTAATGATAAAAAGGTTCTCCACCTATGGTTTATACTTTATAATTTTTTTTTTATTATAGAAATTTACAACTGTATTAAATAATAAATACAACAAGTAAATATGAACAAGTAATATGACATGTACACATGAACAGAAACTATATTAGAATTATATTTCTATATTAGAAGGTCCCGAGGCCATCTTCTTTTCAGGCTTTCGGAGGGTTATTGGGAATAGGAGAGGAACCAATGTTGGAAACAAGAGGGTTCGGATGGTTCAGAAGTTTATTATAGAAGGATAGGTATCTGGATTGAGCTAAATCGGAAACGTATGGTATATTAAGATCATTATGGATGATTTTATTTGTGACAAAGTAGGGAGCCTTAAGGATTTTACGAAGGATTTTGGATTGTAAGGATGGGATACGAGAGGAATTTGATGGTTTAGTAGAGCCCCAAAGCTCGATCCCGTAAGTCCAAAAAGCCTTTTTTTTTTATTATTTATTTATATGATATTTACAACTGTATACAAAAAATACATCTGGTAAATTCGCACATTGGTATAAAGACATGGAACACATGTTGAGAAACTATCCATTGGTAGCACTCTAATAATATGTCTATATTAGAAGATCACGTGGCCATCCATCTTCTTTTCAGACGCCTCGGAGGGTTATCAAGAATCGAATAGGAAGCAAGGTTAGAGACAAGAGGGTTGGGATGGTTATGAAGTTTATTATGGAAGGACAGATATCTGGATTGGGCCAAATCTGATACATAAGGAACATTAAGGTTATTATGGATAATTTTATTTGCAACAAAGTAAGGAGCATTGAGGATTTTACGAAGGATTTTGGATTGTAAGGATTGTATGCGAGAGGAATTTGAAGGTTTGGTGGAGCCCCATAGCTCAATTCCGTAAGTCCAAATAGGCCTTATTATAGTCATGTAAATCAGTCGTTTATAATTGATTGGAAGGTTAGAGCGTTTGTCTAGTAAGTGTTGAAGTAGTCGGAAACGTCGAGCTGTTTCTTGTCGTTTCAGTCTGGTATGAGGATTCCAAGTTAGACGTTTGTCCAGATGGAGTCCTAGGTAACGGATTTGTTCAACAGGAATAAGTGAGGTGTTGTTAAAGGATACTGAAGGACAGGAAGTCATTGGTTTACGACGAAGGGTGAAGGTGATTTGATGGGATTTATTGGAATTTATTTTAATTCTCCAGTTCTGATACCATTCTTCAAGGTTTGTGATGTGGGATTGAAGGGTTTGGGATGCAATAGATGGGTCGTTGTTAACTGATAGGATACATGTGTCATCAGCTAAAAAAAAGCCTTATTATAGTAATATGTATATATATATATATATATATATATATATATATATATATATATATATATATATATATATATATGAGTCTTTTGTAAATAGTTGGAAGTTTAGAGCGTTTGTCTAGTAAGTGCTGCAGTGGTCGAAAACGTCGGGCGGTTTCTAATCGTTTCAGTTCTGGTATGGGGGTTCCAAGTGAGTCGTTTGTCAAGGTGGAGTCCTAGGTTTCAGATTTGTTCAACAGGGAAAAGTGGGTTATAAAAGTTATAATTCATTTAACAAAAATTTAGTTGCGAACTCAAAAAGGTTCAGCTAATCATTCAGGGTGTCGTTTATTTCCAAAGTGAACCCTAATGAACATTGATAATAAGAGGAGGCCATCCCCCCAAAATCGATGGCGCAAGAACCTACCCTTCCCATCCAAGATATTTCATTGCTCATCTTTTCTTAAAAACAGAGCAAGGAAAGGTAGTAGACAATTATAATTGCTGCGACCTGTTCAATGTTTTCCCTTAATCCCTTATTATAAAAATTTCATTCCGAAAAATCATAACCACGTTAAAATGTGCCCTCTCAAAACTTTTGAGGGGGCAACTTGCGCATCATAAAACCCCCTTCTGGGTACCCCTGTTGATAACTTTTCAGGAAACTTGAAAAACTATATTTTCTATTTCACTAGTAATATCAAAACCAACATTTCCTTTGAAATAAATTAAGAAATTCTTTATTTATAATAATTTTTTTTAAAAATCACTGACATATTTCAGTGAATGGAGCCGCTTTATGAATGGCTTAATATTCAAAACCCGATTTTAAGCAGACAAATCTGGTGCGCGCAACACATAACATTCACTTAGCGCTCTATTTTGAATAGAAATTATTTTCTGGCAATGCTGGACTATTATAAATTGTTTGAAGTGCGTTTTAAACGAAACTAAAGCTTAAAGCTTACAGATAACAATTCATTAAGATCATTAAAATTAGAAAAAGTCTATTTATTATATCGACGGTAAGCAATAAAAGTCTAGTTTTATCATAACTTCAGTCTCTGAGCCTTTCAGTTGACAGAATGACTAACTCCAATTTCAACATTTTTGAGTAATATCATTTTATTGATACGTCTTGTTGAACAATTATGCCACTAGAAACATCACTAAAATTAATAATAAAGAATGTTCAAATTGGAGCTAGTCATTATGTCAACCGAAAGGCTCATATATTCCTAGAGACATTTGAAAGTACATCTGAATATTTAACCTATAAATGATGATGGATTGTAGGAATATTAGTTATTAAACTGTTATTCTCCGTTGTCATGGATCCGTTGACATGGATAGGTCAAAAGTTGTCTCACTAATTGTAAGTGGATAATGTTTGGATTTTATAATGGGAAAACTCATAAAATTATTCACTAATTTAATTTTCTGAAAGGTGCACTTGATGATTTTTTGGAATGATCCACAGGTCGACATCCAATTATACAAATATAATATCATATCTAGAGTTATTAAACTACAGTAAATGTATTTAAGATTATAAACATATCTATGAAATATTTTTATGTTTCACTTCTTTTTTCATACAAGTACGATGAAATATTAGTTTAAACTATGGTATTGGCTTGGTGGATTTTAAATGATTTTTTTTTTAAACTTAGAAAGAATTTAAAAGTTTACATTTAGGAAAACAAATTTCATTTGATTTCCATGCAATCGCGTGATTTGCGTTAAATAATGTTAGTTTTTAGAAATTATTATTTATATTTTCTTTCGTCACTCTCCGTTACCTTTTACACATTTATTTATTTGATATTATTTTTTCTAAAATTCTTCGCTTTCCAACGATATATTATACGTATACCTTCTGACTGTTATTTCTGGACATTAATTTTAAACATGGATAAGCATTTTTCATATTGAATATTTAATGGTTGACCGTTGCAT